GGGGACAGCACAGGAACAGCCTTGACAGTCTGTAATTATTGTACAAATATTTTAATAGCATATAAATAAGTATATTCCTCTTATTTTGGAAAAAAAATGATCAGACACTGCCTTTTGTGTGTTTGCTGCCTGTGGCACCCTTTTTTAAAAAGACTGTTACATATTAAAATAGTGTGTGTGTATGTATATATATATATATATATATATATATAAATATTACCTCTTTTGCTGTACAGTTGTGATAGACCAGACTGAAGATTTTATTTTTTGTGTGCTTTTTATAAAAAAGAAAAAATAACACACTAAAGTAAATCTTGCGGATGTGATTGTAATGTACCTATGTAACTTATTTACTTTTGAATGTTCTTCTGTATCTTTAAACCTTTTATTAAATAAGGTTTTAAAAATTCAGAGTTGAATTCTGTGTTCTTTTGGGGAGATTTTCACCACCCGGGATTGAGGTTGGGTGGCCCCGTTTTGCTTGCAGGGGATTACTTGACAGATTTGAACCATAAAGATTCTCTTTTATCACCTCTTTGTCAAACGATGCCAGGACGGGGAAAAACAACAAGCTAGCGTTTGCCTGGCTACAAAGATTCCTGAAAAGATACAGATATTTTTACAAAATTTTAGACAAGGAAAAGTCTCAACTCAGTGTCTCACACAAAAATATGTACAAGGTACACTTCCCACGTGTTAGTTTCGTGGAGATGAAGTACGGAGCGTGCAGAAGGCAATCAGGTGGCACAAGCGAAGCCGCGGCGCTCAAGACGGTGTTTTTCCTACGCGGCGGTAGGCCAGTCTGCCTTGACGGATGTCACCTTCACTCCACTCCTGAATTTTCTTTAAACACGGTGCTTTGTTTACCAAAAAAAAAAAAAAAAAAAAAAAAAAAAAAAAGAAAAATGTAAAAAAAAAAATGCGCCTTCAGAGTAAGCAGTGCCCGGAGCGCCTCGCTAGCACCATGGCAACCGCTCGACCCCAGCCAACTGCGGGAGCGCGCGGAAGTCGCGTCCTCAAGGCCGCCGTTGCCATGGCTACGCTCAGCCGCGGGGGCGGGACCTGGCGGAAAGGCTCTCCCGGAGCCGGCCCCGCCCCCCACTGCGGCAGGAACGCCTCCGAGGGCTGCGGGTCGGACGACCTGGTGGCCGAGCTGCGCCACACCGCCGCAGCCGGTTACAACCGGCGCACGGCTGCCCCTGCCCGCCCCTGCCTCCGCCGCCTGCAGTGTCGTTTCCCCGGCCTTCTGGCGAGTCCGCTCCCTGGCCTGTGTCCTCGATCCTCAGACGCCCTCGCCGCCTGGAGCCATTACCGCGTCTGCAAGGAAGCCGCTTGTGGGCTGGCCTCACCGCCGCCGCCGCCGAGACCTCAGAACTGTCTATTCCTTCGGGGACGACACAGCCTTCGTCTGCAAAGCAGCCGCTCCTCCGCCTGAAGGCCGACCTCCGACCGCGAACGCCGCTGGATCGTCTCCCGGGAGGTGCAGCGGGTGCCCCGCGCCCCGGCTGCAGGGAGAAGGCGGCCACGCCCCGCGGCCACACCCCGGGTCCCCTCCAGCCCCGCGGTTCCAGCCTTGGCCACCCGCCCTCGCTCCTCGCCTTCTTCGCCGCGACGCGACCCCCTGCCTGCGCGTGGAGACCCCGGCTGCGGACCCCGACCGGAGACGCAAGGTGGAGGCGGACGCGTGACCGACTGCCTCAGCCTCCCCGAGGCTTCGCTCCGAGAACGAGCCGACGGACTGACTTGGGGGGCGGGCAGCGAAAGGACAAGAGCAGGAGTCTGGTGTCATTTGTTAATTGTGATCGCGTGAAGCTTGCCTCCCTCGGGCATATTGGGGCGAGTGTCGGCAGCTGTTCTGAGTCCTAGAGCACAGGCAGACACAGCCTAATCCGTATTTATAGAATTGGGGCCCGTGAGAGTTGGGAAAATGGCGATGACACTGTTGGAAGACTGGTGCAGGGGGATGGATGTGAACTCCCAGAGAGCCCTGCTGGTCTGGGGGATCCCAGTGAACTGTGATGAGGCTGAAATCGAAGAGACCCTCCAGGCTGCGATGCCCCAGGTGCCCTATCGAGTGCTTGGGAGAATGTTTTGGAGGGAAGAGAATGCGAAAGCAGCCTTGTTAGAGCTCACTGGCGCTGTCGATTACGCCGCGATCCCCAGGGAGATGCCGGGGAAAGGAGGGGTCTGGAAAGTGGTCTTTAAACCCCCGACTTCCGATGCTGAGTTTTTAGAAAGGTTGCACCTCTTCCTAGCGAGAGAGGGGTGGACCGTGCAAGATGTTGCCCGCGTCCTTGGCTTTCAGAACCCCGCTCCGGCCCCAGGCCCAGATATGCCAGCAGAGATGCTAAACTATATTTTGGATAACGTTATTCAGCCTCTTGTTGAGTCCATATGGTACAAGAAGCTGACGCTGTTCTCGGGGAGGGACATCCCGGGGCCTGGGGAGGAGACCTTTGATCCCTGGCTGGAACACACTCATGAGGTCTTAGAGGAGTGGCAGGTGTCTGATTTAGAAAAGAGGCGGCGACTGATGGAGAGTCTTAGAGGCCCTGCCGCTGATGTCATCCGCATCCTCAAGACCAACAACCCTTCCATAACCACTGCCGAATGCCTGAAGGCGCTCGAGCAGGTGTTTGGCAGCGTGGAGAGCTCTAGGGACGCGCAGGTCAGATTTCTGAACACTTACCAGAACCCGGGAGAGAAGTTGTCTGCCTATGTCATTCGTCTGGAGCCTCTTCTGCAGAAGGTGGTGGAGAAGGGGGCCATAGATAAAGATAACGTGAACCAGGCCCGCCTGGAGCAGGTCATTGCAGGGGCCAACCACAGCGGGGCCATCCGAAGGCAGCTGTGGCTGACGGGGGCTGGGGAAGGGCCTGCCCCCAACCTCTTCCAGCTGCTGGTGCAGATCCGGGAGGAGGAAGCCAAGGAGGAGGAGGAGGAGGCTGAGGTCGCCCTCCTGCAGTTAGGCCTGGAGGGGCACTTCTGAGGCCCAGGAGTGGGGCCGTAGTGCAGATGTAGATCACAGCCGATTTCCTTGTCTCTGTGCTGTCTTACAGGTGTGTCTCTTAGTTGTAAAGACTTCGCCATGTTCTCTTGTTTTTTTGTGGGGGGCGGGGGGAGTCGGGCCTGGGTATTCGTGTAACATTAGTACGGCCTCGCCAGTGAGCACCCCTCGCTGCTCCAACGGAGTGGTGCTGGCTGCAGTGCGAGTGCAGACCTGTCCGCAGGTGCTCCGTGCAAGCTGTCCTTGTGGCAAACTTCAGTTGTAAAAAAACATGTGAATTCGTGACACTTCCCATTGAGGCGATTAAATGTGAACTTGCATGTTCAGATGTTCAGCGCAGGGCCTGGCAAACACGCGAAGTGTTCAGTAAATACAGGAGCCGTTGTTAACTAATACCATGAGTAGTTTTTTGTGTTTACAGTAAATTGCTCCTCATTTACATTAATGGAAAGAAATGTGACTTAATTAGATGCTATTTAGTTATTCAAACAAAGCGAATTTCTTTTCATCTTGAAACATCTGGATCAGTTTAATTGAAGAGTATTCTGAGACTATGGAATGGGGTGTTAGAAAAATATTGCAGTTCTAGAATTATGTAAATCAGTTTTTCTCTGTACAAGATACAGATATAAATTGCATGGGGAGGCTAATAAGAACCGGTTACAGTATCTGTTCCCCCATTTCAAATATTTGTCATTGAATAGTAGTTCTTGTTCATGCTGATTCTAAGTGTTCTAAATTCGAAGTTATCAAAATACATGTAAATGAATAAAAGAATTTAAAAAATTCTGTTGTCTTTTCTGACATGTATACAAAATTTCATTGTAATTAAGCTCTATATTCTCTTAGGAAGACTTCCCCATGTCACTAAAAAAAAAAAAAAAATCAAACCAGTTACTTTTAGCTTTATAGCATACTATGTAAGTTTAAATTGCATAACTTTTTGATGTATTCCATTTTTGCACGTTTTCTACCAGGCAAATGTTAGAAGGCTAAATAGACATAAGTAAATACTAACTTACTATATAATGTTAAGAAATCCCGAAATGAGGCTCAGGATGTTATCTAGCAATGCTTTTTCTCTCCTTTTAAATACCTTTTCAGCTAAAAATGTTTTGCTACAGGAATAATTCCTCATACCTGTTTAAAATGAATGTTTCAGATTTATAGCAGCCCTTTTATATGAAAATGGTATAAACAGGGACAGTTTAAAAACATGTTTGACTGCAGAGAATCAGTGACTGAAGATGTTTTGTCTTGAGATCCCAATAAATCCAGAAATGGTTACATGAACATAAGAGTTCAGTGGGGTTTTCCCCTAGTAACAAGGCTTTAAAATTATAGCCAATCTATTTAACAATCATAAGGCAAAAATTATTTATAAAGGCTAATACTGGTATACAGTCTAACAGATTTTTATGTACACTCACTTAGGTCCTCATCTGCCATGTCAGGTCTGTTCCACACTCACAGTCTTCTCTCCAGAGATCTCCACATATTTGACCCTCACAACAGATACCGAGTCTTTGCTTCCCCCACCAAACATGGCCTCATTCCTCCACTCCCCAACTCATTCCCATCATCTTGGCGGCATGGCAGTGGGTACACGCACCCCACTTACTTCTTAGAATCTTACCTGTACACACACATCCACTCCCACCTCCCCCACAGCACTCCATCGTATCGCACCCCCATGCATACACTGCAGCAGTCTCCACCCCAACCATACGTTCCCGTCTCTCCACACATACACACACATGTGCTCCCACTGCTGCTTCACACTAACTGGCCACCACACGTATACATACATTCTCACCCACACATACTACATTCATAACAAAAATAGTTCATTTTTTTCACCCAATGTTGCAGGCATCCTTCTACGTCTGTACATAGGGATACACCTTCTTACAGCTGCAGAGTTGACTAAATTTTAGAAAGGAGGGTTATCACTTAGGATTCTTTTATTATATATAACAATTATATATCTACATATACATACATATATATTTAATACAATACATATAATGGTATACATGTCAGGATTCTAGACATCCACCCTTTAGTCTAGAAAATAATGAACTAAAAGTAATGAGCTGTTTCAAATCTGAATTAAGGTTTCTCTTTATAGGCTCAGAAACTAAAATCTGCTTTTTAAAGGAGGATAGCAGCAAGAAACATCCTTAAAACCAAAGAACTGTGGAATAAAGAAGTAGAAACTGCACTACAGTACCATTCTGAGACCAAAATTATATTCAGCCGATAGCGCAGAATACGTGCTGAGACAGCATATAATGTTACGGCCATACCTAGGCTCTTCCCTATTTCTTATGTATCACAAAGGGGCTGGCCAATGTCAGGTTATTCCAGACCACACATCAGGGGCCTGTTAACCAATCTTAACCTCCTATAGCACTAGTGAGGAGAAGACTAGGACTTGTCACGCAGTAGGAACTTGCTGTCTTAGGAAGCACTCTTTCCAGGCTACTGATCATTGAAACGGTGCCCAGAGAACTTATGGTGAAGACTTACAAAACTGGGAGAGGAGACTGCCATTGGTGGTGAACTATAGGGGGAAAAAAAAAGCATAAAGAAATGCGTCAATCTCTCCCCCCTTTCTCTCATACACGTGCACACAAGCTGTGTGGAATGTTTGATCCAAAGACCAAATTTCTTCAGAATTGAATGTCATTGAAAGTTCACGTCATTGCTCTGTACCAGCTAAAACTAATGGGTCATATGACCAAAAAAGATACAAATTATTTTTTTTATAAAATAACACAATTTATTACTATTTTAAAACATGTCTCACAAAATAACATTCAGAAACTCAACATTTCTAAATAATTTAACACAATAAGTTTAGTCATAAAGTCATGCTACAAAATTCCTGCATATAAAAGATTATTACCAAAGTATTAATAGATGTTAAAATGTTCTTCAGAATGGAGTTGGTTCTAGAAGCCAAAGATTCTGGAATGATGCTCGTTATCACGACTGACACCCTGGGAGAAGAAGCTAGCTATATATGTATTCTCCACAGCTACTGACTCACCAGTCCTGATGGAACTGATCCCTCTAGGCGATAGCACCTCAGAGGCAGGTACCCTGTGACAGATCCAAGAAGCAAAGAACTTCCCACCCTTGTAACACGAGCCACAACTTAATTTAACCAACATCTAAATTAATTTTGCAAATCTAGATGTGGGAAAGATAACTCACGAAGTTTCTATTCTGAGAGCATTCTACTTGACACATTCCCCAGAGGGACGACTGTCAATGTAGCAGATGTGGGAGATGACACCAACGAGGGACACAGGGAAATCCTGGCTCTGATTATGTCAACAGACAACTACTGCGCAGGTGGGCTTAGAACGAGCAAGGACGAAGTTGGATTCTCCAATATCCACGTGCAGGCTAGGTATTTACCTATCTGCCCTTTGGGAGCACTTTCCACCAACATCCAGTTTATAATTTTAAAGTGCAAATCTACTGCAAAATAGTTCATTCTCCCCCACTCCCTTGTTAAATTTGCTGGATCAGAATTTGGTTGGCTGGTTCCCCTCTATTTTAGCCCAATATGGGAAATTTACTAGAATCCAGTTATGACTTCTCCAAGTGGCAAGAGAAAGTTTAGATAGTTTAGAAAAAAAGTAAGACTCCATCTCATTTTTTTTCTTTCAGTTTTCTTCCTTTGTAGTCATTAGCTTATAAAAAGGCAGGGATAGAGATTTAGATGTGGGATTTCTAAAAGTTCAGTGATTTTTTTTTTAAACACACCCTTTTTTTAATTGCACCTATTTTATGGTTTTACAAAAACAAAAACCAAAACCTCATGCTGGAGTGAAGATAAAGGAATACGGTCAAGTTAGCTGTGACGGAAGCACCAAATCCATTACACTGAATCTTACTTTATATTTAATTTTTCACAGACCCATTAAGCAGCCTAAATAAAATGTGTGCCAAAGGAATTAATTTCAGTTAAAGAATAACTTTCATTTCAGCAGTTAGTTTCCTCCCTTTACCAATACTTACAAAGTAAGGTCTTCACAAACTGACAGACTGCGGTCAGAGAGACACTAACTACTCATATGATCGATACTTTGACACTCCTCCCCCCCAACACACATCAATTTTTAAAAAGTTAATGATTAAATCCAACCTTTCTATACCCTACACTTCTTCCATTTAATCTTAAGAAAAACCCAGGTAGAAGATTCTGGGTCAGAGAGATAAACAATCTTCCATTCCACTTACACATCACCGATTTTGAGAATAAGTCAACAGTTAAGATTCATTTCTTATTCTCTGTTACCCTACTTCAGACCACTGGTAAAAGGTATAAGAAAAAGCATCTATTTAAGCCAAAATTTCTTTTTCCTCACAAGAACCACATTTAAGTATCTTATAACTATACCGAGTTAGTGACCAACTATCATGATCAGACATTCCTCTGATCACATTCAAAATTGGTGTCTACACCAGCTAACTTTCACATCTGATTGCCAAATTTTGCCAAATTTTATACAATACTTTTCTGTATTTAATGACTGCTACAGTCTGGAAAATTCTATGCATTAGTGGACAATGAAGGAACATTTAAAGAATGAACACTTAAAAGAATGATCCATTTTCTAAAAGCACACTCAAAAAGTTCAACTTTAGAGATAAAGAAAAATCTACCATAAAGTTGAGTTCTGTTAGAGTAAGAGAGAGGTAGGTTAATAATTACTGTCCTAAGAAAAGCAAGAGTGCTAAGAAATAGAAGTTGAGACCCTGCTGAAAAATATAAGTTGAACCTTCCAGCCCTGAGTTTCTAGTGTTATATGAAAATTATTAAAATGACCATTACCAAAGAGAAAAACACCAAGGAACATTTTCGTTCCACCCATGATTATTAAATACGATACCTTCTCGCATATAATAACTCAGGTGGCATATGTGACTACGGAGTGAAAATAATGCACCCTGGACAAAAGGAATGTTAGTATAAAGCACTGGTTCTTCACCAGGGGCAGATTTGCTCCTATGCCCCTGCCAGAAGGGACAGGTGGTAATGTCTGAAGACATTTGTGGTTGTTACAACTAAGCAGGGGGTTCTACTGGCATCTAATGAGGAGAAGCCAGATATGTTGTTAAACATCCTGTAATACACAGGACAATATCATCCAACCCAACATGTTAATAGGGCCAAGACTGAGAAACTCTGATTTAAAGGAATAAAATCCTATGAACAGAGAATACAAAAACCTTTCAAGGTCTTGACCAGGTAATATACCCATAAGCTTAGAGTTAGGGAACACAGAAAAGTTGAATTCTTTGTAGACTAAAATCAAGTTACCTGTGAAAAATTAAAATACTGAACTGATTTTAGAGCTCTACCATCATTATGAGAATAGAAGAAATTTAAATGAGCCACTAAAATGGCATAATGCTTTAAACCAGGAGCACAGAGAGAAGCCATTCCAAGTAGGTCAAGTATCTAATCCATAAACCAAAGGGATTTAATATCAGCTAAATTTGCAACAGTAAAGGATGATTTAAGGAATGATTGGAGAGAATGTTCAGAATGTACTCCTACATCCTATCTTCCATTTTCTAATGGCATGGATTCTGGTTTTAACTCCATGAAAAGGATGCACAGAAGTCATTCAAATATTTGCTGAAACTAAATATGAATTTTGTGTGAAATGGACACAGAAAAGCACCTTTCATTTCTTTGAGAACTATTAGTGATTAAAGACATTAAGAAACAAGGGGAAGCAGAGAAAATTAGTTTCTATATTATAAAATTCAGAAAACCACACACCAACACTGTAAGCCATTTTACAGATTCAATATGAAGTCATCCCTTCCTATTACATTCACTTCCAGAGTAACTTTTGAAAATATATCCATACATCGTAAAATGGCTTCGAGCTTGCCTACTGGGTGAAGTGAAAACTACAACCAAAGAAGATCGTCTTCCCTCCTAGTTTGGGGGACTTAAACATCACCATGGGGAATACTCATTGTCTACAGTTCACAAAAGAAGTACCCAAAGGCTTTGAATGTATAAGCCAGAGTAAAGATTTCTTCCTATCAGATTATGAGGAAGAACAAAAAGGAAGCTAAAAAAAGTGTTGGACTCATTTTTCCTCTTGCTGTTTATACTTAGTATTGATTGTCAAAGCAGTGGTCCCTTTAGATCAGAGTGACTCAGAGAAATCATGTAATTCCCACTTAAATATAGCTGAAATTTTCTGAAACTTAGGACTATGCAATCACTTTTTTAAAAAAATGACTCTCCCCTCTGACTGATTTTACACAAGTAAATGGGGAAATAAGAATCAGTCTCTGGTTGAGGGACGTTAGGCACAATTTGGCAGAGCGCCTCTGACTTCTTTTCTGCAATCTGTGATTCAGTCATGACTTGCTATGAACTTCCTCTGGTTACTGACTACTATACCTGGTACTTTCCAAAAAGATTTTTTTTTTTTCCCTTACAAATTCTAAGCTCTGTATCCAACTATTGCTTTGCAATTTTGAGGTTAAATCACCTACCATGCTTCATAGAGAAGGCAATCTCCAAAAATATTGCCATTTGCCTGGGATCCCATAATGAAATATCTCTTCTCTTTTCCCTCCATAATCACTTACATAATTCATTTTAAGAGCTGTCTAACTTAGAAACATTCTAAAAATATATTTTGAGATTCTAAATTTAATCTACTGAAAGGTATCAGATGCAGTCTTTTAAGTTCTATATCCTTATTTATAGCAACCACTTCTCCCAACATGAGGGTCAACAGAACAAAGTTATTGGAGAAAATTTTGATATATATGAATAGCCAACATTTACACTAGGAATTCAAATATAACTACTGCTTACATGTATTCCCTTATATAACATATAAGGGACTATAAACCAAAAAGTGTGCCTAAAGTCAGGTCCACATGAATAACATGACCACAGTAGTGGTCAAAGGAATGATCATGGCTGTCCCGGACACTGACCCGGACCACAGCATGACTGACTGTGCACAGTGACTCAAGTGGCCAGGCGTGCAAACACAAGCTAAATTCCAGTTGACAATGCACACATTTTTTAGAAAAACAAATAAGTAAATATAACATGGGCTATAAGGCCTCCAAGATATTAATTTTTCCTTTTTCACCACAGCTTTTCCAATTGGACTTTGGGAGTCTTTGTTCTAGGACTGCTCTGTATTTCTTCTAAGAGGAACCCTTCCTGTCACTGTGGTGCCTTCTAAACCAAAGGCATAACACATTTGTGCTTCTGAGTCATAAGGACATGGACCTTCAGGAAAGATGGTCTACAGATTCAAAAGTTAAGTATATATATTTAAATGCCTGGTCTGAAAAAAAAAAAGCAAACCCTAACCAAGCTGAATAAAGAACGGTATTTGTTGTTCTTTGTTGTTAAAAATGACTGGTCTATAAAAGTTTTGTAGACGGGGCCACATAGTACACAACTGCGACTAAAGACAAAAAATTGAGAATTTGAGTTTCTAAAAAAAGTACTAGGATATATGAAGTTGGTGTTACCGTTTGAGGGGAGAAACACTCAATAGGTTTAAAAAAAAGATAGAAATGAGAGATTTGTTTTATCTGAAGAACCTTTTGCCCCACACAGAATCTTTAAAATAGACAATTATACAAAACTTATCTATTGTTCTTATGACATTTAAATAAGTTAACACAAAGCAGAAAACGTGGTGTTAGTTATCTTCTTCCTCATCCTCTTTAATTACTGGGGTACCTAAAATGAAAAAGAAAATTATTTCTGGTCATTCTCAAAAGATTGTTAAAATTCTAAATGAAAATATTTTCCTATTAACTTGAGAAGCTATGAGATGCTAAGAAGTGTGCCATAATAAAAATAATTTCATAAAATAATCTCCTTAATTTCAAATTATCCAAAAAGCCCCTCAGGGAAATTCTCAAATGGATTAATATAAGTACTTATGAATATGGCTCCCCAAATGCAGAGTTGCAAATGAAATGGTTATAGGTGCGAGGCAGAAAAATAAAGCCCGATCCACAGTAAAAAACTTTGTATGTTAAACACAAAGAAATATTCTTAATTTTTCACAATAAAATATACCATCCCAGTGTTGCCAGAAATCTGAATTTTTATATTATTCTCCCAAATATTAAACAATAGGGACAAATTTGGGGGGGGGGACACATCTGCAGGCTGTCACTGGGCCAAGGGCCACCCATTTCTGAGCACTGGCATTTGAAGCCTGCCCACAATTTGACCTCGATCCACTGTTCTGTCTTAACTCCTCAGACAGTCACCTTCTGCACCAGCTAAACTGATCAATTCACTGTCTCCCAAACTCACTGTGCACACTCTTACCCCTGGAGCCTTGTTCAACAGAGTTCCTCCATTTTGGAATGTCCCCCCACCCCACAACTCTCCTTCCATCTAAACCCCACCCTTAATAAGAAACCAATTCCAGTGCCTCTTCCTCTGTGATCCTTCCGTAATGAACATTTATGTTCTTTATGTCAGCAAGCAGAGTTTCATCCCTCTGTACTCCCCACAGCATCTTTTTGCAGGGGGAGAGTGAACGTATTATTGGAGTATAACATCCAAAGTACACAAATTACATAAGCGTACAGATCAATAAATATACACAAAGTGAACACATCTGGTAATCAGCACCAGATTAGGTAGAGAACATTATTAGAACCACCAAAACTGGGGCGCCTGGGTGGCTCAGTGGGTTAAGCCACTGCCTTCGGCTCAGGTCGTGATCTCAGGGTCCTGGGATCGAGCCCCTCATCGGGCTCTCTGCTCAGCAGGGAGCCTGCTTCCTCCTCTCTCTCTCTGCCTGCCTCTCTGCCTGCTTGTGATCTCTCTCTGTCAAATAAATAAATAAAATCTTTAAAAAAAAAAAAAAACCGCCAAAACTTCCTCAGGCCCCCTTCCATTCACTATCCCCCTCAAAAAGCATGTTCTATCCTAATGTCCAACACCACAGGTTATTTTGTCTGTTTTTGAAATTGATATGAACAGGATGGCATAATATACATTCTGTGTCTGGCTTCTGTTACTCGACATTATGTTTGCATGACACATCTATACTGTGCGAAATTTGTAGTTCATTCTTTCTTATTGCTGTTTAATATTACATTGTATGAATATGTCATAATTTATTCTATTGATGGGCATTTGGGTTGTTTCCAATTGATAGCTATTAAAATAGTGCTGCTATGAACATTCTCATACACGTCATTTGGTAAACATATATATCCTTTTCTTTTGGGTATATAGCTAGGAGGAAAAGTGGGGTCATAACGGATATGTATGTAGAGCTTTCATAGATAATGCTAGTTTTCCAAAGTGGTTATACCAAGTTACATCACCATCTGGCAAGGTCTGAGAGTTCTAGTTCTCCATGTCCCACTAATATTTGGCCTTATTCTTTTCATTTGAGCTTTTTAAGATTCCCCAGTTCTGCTTATAAGCAACAGAAGAGAAGCAAAAGTAGGCAAATGAGCAGCTGTAGCTATCTCTGTTCTCATCTATTCTACTAGGGTAGACCAAGCTGGTTCTCCTAGGGGCTGTTTGGATTGGCTTGAGGTCAATACTTGGTCCAAAAGCCTACATTGTGGCTTGGTCTATTCAAGGTCTACACGGGGGGGGTTCTGTTCCAGTTTTAAGGGAAGGGTTTTATTTCCTGTATGCAATCCTGAAAGAAGACAAATGACTTTAAATGGTTTCTAGAGGGGCGCCTGGGTGGCTCAGTGGGTTAAAGCCTCTGCCTTCGGCTCAGGTCATGATCTCGGCGTTCTGGGATCGAGCCCCGCATCGGGCTCTCTGCTCAGCAGAGAGCCTGCTTCCCCCTCCCTCTCTCTCTCTGTCTGCCTCTCTGTCTACTTGTAATCTCTGTCTGTCAAATGAATAAATAAAATATAAAAAAAAATAATAAAATAAATGGTTTCTAGAATCCAACCAAAGGTGAACGTTAAAAAGCTAAAGTTCGGGGCGCCTGGGTGGCTCAGTGGGTTAAAGCCTCTGCCTTCGGCTCAGGTCATGATCCCAGGGTCCTGGGATCGGGCCCTGCATCGGGCTCTCTGTTCAGCGGGGAGCCTGCTTCCCTTCCTCTCTCTGCCTGCCTCTCTGCCTACCTGTGATCTCTGTCTGTCAAATAAATAAATAAAATCATAAAAAAAAAAAAGCTAAAGTTAAAGACTCTAACGTCCCTACCTCCTTTTTTCAATTTTATTTTTTAATTATGAAATATTCATTCATATAAATGCAGTATAAATAATTTAAGGAGTAATAAAGCTAATGATTATATATACCCACCACCAATTTAGGAAATAGAACATTACCAGTATCTTAGAAACCTGTTTGTTTCTTCCCAATTATTCCTGTACCTCTCCATAAGTCTGTCACTTTACCCCTACATATGCACCCAGGAAAAAAGAAAACATTCTGCATGATTCCACTGATATAAAACTCTAGAAAATTCAAACTAATCTATAGAGACAGAAAGCAATCAGTGATTGCCTTGGGAGGGATGATGGCAAGGACCAGGAAGGAGGGATTACAAAGAGGCACGAGGATACTTCTGGGGGTGATGCATATGTTTATTATCTTTTTTCCTCAGCTTTATTGAGATATGACTGAGATAGCACTGTGTAAGTTTAAGGTATGAAAGTGATGATTTGATATACATATATTTTATGGACTCATTACCACAATGGTAGTTAATACATTCATCCCCTTACATAAGTACTTCTGTGTGTGTGTGTGTGTGTGTGTGTGTGTGTGTGTGTGGTGAGAACTTTTAAGAACCACTCTCTAAGCAACTTTCAAGTTGCTATAAGACAGTACTATTAACTAGAGTCACCATCATATATTTATTATCTTAATTGTGGTGATGGTTTCAGAGGTGTATTTGTATAACAAAATGTACAAATTACACACTTGAAATATGTGCAGTTAACTGTGTGTCAATTAAATGTCAGTCAAGCTGCTAAAACTTTCTGGTATAGGAAAATAGATAGTTAAGAGCTTTTCACATCCATAATTCTCAACTGGAGGACAGATGAGCAAATATCTTCCAGGGAGGCATACCAGAATCACCTGTGAAATTTTTCAAACAATAGAGACCTCTTTACTCTCTCCCCAGAGATTCTAAAATATCTGATATCTTCGTAGGGGTGTGGCCCCATTGAAGAACAACCACTGTAAGCTGGGGTGGATAAAAGGGTTGCGTAGTGAGGCTCTGAGAGAGGTAGTAGGGGAGCGATGGGGAGACAAAGAATATAGAAAGGATAGAATGACAAGGCAGTGGGGGTGGTAAAGAGGGAAGAGAAGGGCTGAGGGACAAGGAAGCCTCAACCACAGACAGCTAAGTCCTTCTGATTTGGATGTGACTGTCAGTATGGGTATGGTGTTAAAGACAATAGGGCAGGGCGCCTGGGTGGCTCAGTGGGTTAAAGCCTCTGCCTTCAGCTCAGGTCACGATCTCAGCGTCCTGGGATAGAGTCCCGCATCGGGCTCTCTGCTCGGCAGGGAGCCTGCTTCCTCCTCTCTCTCTCTCTCTCTGCCTGCCTCTCTGCCTACTTGTGATCTCTGTCTGTCAAATAAATAAATCCAGGGTCCTGGGATCGGGCCCTGCATCGGGCTCTCTGTTCAGCGGGGAGCCTGCTTCCCTTCCTCTCTCTGCCTGCCTCTCTGCCTACCTGTGATCTCTGTCTGTCAAATAAATAAATAAAATCATAAAAAAAAAAAAGCTAAAGTTAAAGACTCTAACGTCCCTACCTCCTTTTTTCAATTTTATTTTTTAATTATGAAATATTCATTCATATAAATGCAGTATAAATAATTTAAGGAGTAATAAAGCTAATGATTATATATACCCACCACCAATTTAGGAAATAGAACATTACCAGTATCTTAGAAACCTGTTTGTTTCTTCCCAATTATTCCTGTACCTCTCCATAAGTCTGTCACTTTACCCCTACATATGCACCCAGGAAAAAAGAAAACATTCTGCATGATTCCACTGATATAAAACTCTAGAAAATTCAAACTAATCTATAGAGACAGAAAGCAATCAGTGATTGCCTTGGGAGGGATGATGGCAAGGACCAGGAAGGAGGGATTACAAAGAGGCACGAGGATACTTCTGGGGGTGATGCATATGTTTATTATCTTTTTTCCTCAGCTTTATTGAGATATGACTGAGATAGCACTGTGTAAGTTTAAGGTATGAAAGTGATGATTTGATATACATATATTTTATGGACTCATTACCACAATGGTAGTTAATACATTCATCCCCTTACATAAGTACTTCTGTGTGTGTGTGTGTGTGTGTGTGTGTGTGTGTGTGTGGTGAGAACTTTTAAGAACCACTCTCTAAGCAACTTTCAAGTTGCTATAAGACAGTACTATTAACTAGAGTCACCATCATATATTTATTATCTTAATTGTGGTGATGGTTTCAGAGGTGTATTTGTATAACAAAATGTACAAATTACACACTTGAAATATGTGCAGTTAACTGTGTGTCAATTAAATGTCAGTCAAGCTGCTAAAACTTTCTGGTATAGGAAAATAGATAGTTAAGAGCTTTTCACATCCATAATTCTCAACTGGAGGACAGATGAGCAAATATCTTCCAGGGAGGCATACCAGAATCACCTGTGAAATTTTTCAAACAATAGAGACCTCTTTACTCTCTCCCCAGAGATTCTAAAATATCTGATATCTTCGTAGGGGTGTGGCCCCATTGAAGAACAACCACTGTAAGCTGGGGTGGATAAAAGGGTTGCGTAGTGAGGCTCTGAGAGAGGTAGTAGGGGAGCGATGGGGAGACAAAGAATATAGAAAGGATAGAATGACAAGGCAGTGGGGGTGGTAAAGAGGGAAGAGAAGGGCTGAGGGACAAGGAAGCCTCAACCACAGACAGCTAAGTCCTTCTGATTTGGATGTGACTGTCAGTATGGGTATGGTGTTAAAGACAATAGGGCAGGGCGCCTGGGTGGCTCAGTGGGTTAAAGCCTCTGCCTTCAGCTCAGGTCACGATCTCAGCGTCCTGGGATAGAGTCCCGCATCGGGCTCTCTGCTCGGCAGGGAGCCTGCTTCCTCCTCTCTCTCTCTCTCTCTGCCTGCCTCTCTGCCTACTTGTGATCTCTGTCTGTCAAATAAATAAATAAAATCTTTAAAAAAAAAATCTTAAAAAAAAAGACAATAGGGCAAATATATATTTGGTACATGGGATGATGATGATGATGATTACGTAGCTGGATATTGCTTATTTGTTTCTTCTAAATATTTTTCTTTCTCTCCATTCAATCAGGTAGCCTAGTTGGCTCTGGATCACTGCTACAGGGGCATGTGGAAAGTCATGGAAAGTCATCAGACTTACCGGCTTTTGTCTTTGAAAGGCCTAAGAAGATTCCTGGAAGACAGTTTGTGAGAACATGCAGAATGATGTGGAAATAAAGGAGGGGGATAGTGATTCTCTTCAGATTAGAAAGGTTATTTCCCTGGGCTGGCAGAAAGAGAGAAGTCTGTGGATTCTGGAACAGTTGGGATCCTTGCCTGACTTCCTGGGAGGAGGTAAGATCCAGAGAAGTCTGGGACTATTATCATTTCCAGTTTTTAGTTTATAAAAGAAAAAGATTTGGTGAAATTAATTAACTAGCACGATAACGAAAAAGCTATTAAGTGGGAGAACTGGAACTTGAACCCAATCAGTCAGGGATATCTACAAACATTGACACCTATCTTAAATATTGGTTAACTACAATTAGAGGGTGGGGGTAGAGCGAAAACTACAATTTTGGTCCAGTTGTGAAAAAGAGACTGCTTACCATTTATGTCTAGTTATCCTGCAAAATAATATCTGACTTGAGAACAAAACCGGCTTTCTTAAAAGTTTCTGGTCTAGGGATGACCTTATACCAGTCTCAGTATGCTAGAAGGTTTTCATCTCACCCTGGCTCAACCCTGGACTATAAAATTTCCTATGGAATGAAATGGCTTTGGAGATTAGGGACAAGCTATTTCTTTTTTAGTTTTGCTCCTTTTTATTATTCCACGTCACAAATTCAATCCTTATACCCAAAAAGCATTGGCCCAAACTCGCCCAGAATCACTCACCATCCAGCTTTTTCAGTCTGGGAACTCTCTTGGTGGCCTCTTCAATCCAGTTTCCCTCAGCAGAATGTTTCTCTTCCAAGGGATTGCCTACAAACACCAGGTCTTCCAGACACGGCAATTCTGCTAGCTTTACAAATTCAGCTACAGGTGCAAGGAACACATTCCATATTAAAATGCCAAGTTGTCCTGTTACAATTTTGGGGGTTGAACTCTAGTATGTGTTTGTGACTATTTAGAACCCTCAGTTTGTGACAAATCGTTCAGAATGATTTGTTGGTTAAGATTTTGAAGAAAGTAAGGGAAATTATACCATACGAAGTCATTCTCTGAAGACATTATTGAAAGGGAAGGAAAAGAAGACATACCTCTTCTATCTTTATCCTAGCCTAAGGATGGCATAAGAAAAGAAGATGAGGTTCAGAATCACAAAGACAGTAACAGGTCTTCTCTATGCTGTACTGTATCAGTGTGGGTTAAGTCAAACTACTTTTGTCTCTACCCATTCCCTCATCTTCGAGTTCTTTTTTTTTTTAAGATTTATTTATTTTTATTTGAGGGGCGCTTGGATGGCTCAGTGGGTTAAAACCTCTGCCTTCGGCTCAGGTCATGATCCCAAGGTCCTGGGATCGAGCCCCGCATCGGGCTCTCTGCTCAGCAGGAAGCCTGCTTCCCCCTCTCTCTCTGCCTGCCTCTCTGCCTACTTGTGATCTCTGTCTGTCCAATCAAAATAAATAAATAAATAAGTAAATAATTTAAAAAATTTAAAAATATATATTCATTTATTTGAGAGAAAGAGATAGTGTGTGGGAGGGAGTAGAGGGAGAGGGAGACGGAGAATCTCAAGCAGACTCTCCTTTGAGCATGGAGCCTGATGTGGGGCTCAAACCCAAGACCCCGAGATTGGAAACTTAACCAACTGAGCCACCCAGCCGCCCCTCATCTTTGAATTATTCCTTTTAAGATTTATTTATTTTATATATAGAGAGAGTGGGTGGAGGTGCAGAGGGAGACGGAGACAGTCTTAAAGAGACTCCCTGCTGGGCACGGACCCTGCAGGGCTTAATCTCACAACCATGAGATCACAACCTGAACTGAAACCAAGACTCCAGAGCTTAACTGACCAAGCCATCCAAGTACCCCTCATCTTTGAATTTTCAAGGCACTGCATTCACACACCTATGGAAGAACTCATTACACAGTTTTATAATTATTAGTTTATAAACCACTCTTTCCCACTAAGTTGTGAATTCCTTGAAGGCAGGGGCAGTGTCTTATTCAACTATGTATCTCAAGAGCCTGGCACAGTTCATAACACTGAACAGGGCTTTAGTAATGTTGAATGAATAATACACTGTAAGAAAATGAAGTCAGGGCGCCTGGGTGGCTCAGTGGGTTAAAGCCTCTGCCTTCAGCTCAGGTCATGGTCCCAGGGTCCTGGGATTTAGCCCTGCATCGGGCTCTCTGCTCAGCAGGGAGCCTGCTTCTCTGCCTGACTCTCTGCCTACTTGTGATCTCTGTCTGTCAAATAAATAAATAAAATCTTTAAAAGAAAACAAACAAACAAAAAAAAAACTAAGTCATACAGATGGCAAATACATCTTCCATCCAAGAATTATTAAATTTAAACTGATTCCATTCAAAAGTTAGACAGGAAAGAAAGACTTTATTTAAGATTATTGCAAGATGCCTGAGTGGCTCAGTCAGTTATGCGGCTGCCTTTGGCTCAGGTCATGATTGCAGGGTCCTGGGATCGAGCCCTGCATCAGGTTCCCTGCTCAGTGGAGAGCCTGCTGCTCTCTCTGCTTGTGCTCTCTCTCTCTGTATCAAATAAATAAAAATTTAAAAAAATTAAAAAAAAAAAAAAACCTGATTCCATTCAGCTTTTGGACAATAATTTTTTTCCATGATGAATAGGACCAGGATCTATTCAATTATAATCACTTTAAGTAAATATTTAAATGTAAATTTCATGCATTCAGCTGAAAGACTGGAACCCTGTGTGCATATAAAGAAATGTCCCCATTTTGCATCTTGTTCTTTATTTGGGCTATTTTCCATAAATAGGAGGTAGAAGAGCCAGCGAAGAGCCAGCTTCAGCTTACCCCAGTCTTTCACGAGGTTATTAGACATGTAGAGAATCTTCAATTTCTTCATTACATGGATCCCTTTCAACTTCTCAATAAAATTGTAGGAGATCCATAGTTCTTCTAATGTGTCCCCTACTGCTTCCTGAAAAAGAAAGCAATTTGGTTTACAAGCTTATTTTTAAACATCAAGCTTTTTAAAAAACTTTTCCTCTGTCCCCTTTCTTATAAACATAAAGACAATGGCCTTCAGAGTGAACTGAAACACACCTGGCCACTAGCAGGAGAGCTGAAGGCTATGTGGGAGTTTTTTTTCTCATTAAAAAGGCAAGTACAACATTTTCTTCCTCTCTTCAAACTGATCTAAGAATAGCTACTGAAATATCAAAAGGGGAAATAACAGCAATATTTTATCACTTTTATTGAACTGTATAGATTTCAAATTATTTCCCTGTACATTTTTATAAGGGAATTTATTTTTTTTAAATATTTTATTTATTTATTTGACAGACAGTGAGAGAGGGAACACAAGCAGGGGGAGTGGAGAGGGGGAAGCAGGCATCCCGCTGAGCAGGGAGCCCGATGCGGGGCTCGATCCCAGGACCCTGGGATCATGACCTGAGCTGAAGGCAGAGGCTTAACCACTGAGCTGCCCAGGTGCCCCTCCCTGTACATTTTATTATTTGATCCTTATAACATTTAAGATAGGCAAAGCAGGTTACTTGATTTCTATTATAGAGAGCTTAAAGGCATTTTCTAAGATCACAATGTTATCAAATAATAAAGCTAGGTCTAAATTTCAGGTTTTTTTGTTTCAGTATTTACTACAGAAATTTTCAAACACAAGAAGTTGGAAGAATCTTACAACAAGTATCTATGCATCTATGACCCAGACTCTACCATTAACATTCTACTATCCCTTTCCTATCACATATCTGTCCATCTAACCATCCACTATTCATCAATTCCTCTTACTTTATTTATTTATATAAAATAATCAGAATTTATTTTATTATTTTTCCTCTTATTTTGATGTATAAAATTCAGCTTAAAACCCACAGGCTTTCCATTATGGTATAAAGATCCTACTGGATCTCAAATGCTAGATTAATCAATGGTGGTACAAAGACTCTTCCTTCCTTTATAGACATAAGACAAATATAATGATTATTTCTCTTTATAAAAAAGAAAAGAGGGGCGCCTGGGTGGCTCAGTGGGTTAAGCCGCTGCCTTTGGCTCAGGTCATGATCTCAGGGTCCTGGGATCGAGCCCCGCATCGGGCTCTCTGCTCGGCAGGGAGCTTGCTTCCTCCTCTCTCTCTGACTGCCTCTCTGCCTGCTTGAGATCTCTCTCTGTCAAATAAATAAATAAAATCTTAAAAAAAAAAAAAAAGAAAAGAAAAGAGGGGCACCTGGGTGGCTCAGTCGGTGAAGTGCCCTACTCTTGATTTCAGCTCAGGTCATGATCTCAGGGTTGTGAGATCAAGTCACATATCATGTTCCATGCTGGGCATGAAGCCTGCTTGGGATTCTCTCTCTCCCTCTCTCTTTGCCCATCCCTCCACTAAAAAAAAGTGCTAGGCAGGATCAATTATATGCTCAATTCCCTCTTATCCCAAAATAATTTACCTACAACCACATGGTAACATCTAGACTGTGGGGCCTAGGTCTACGTCCTGGTAATTTTCCCTTCAAAGACCCCCAAAGAAAATAAGTGTACCCTGGATAAATATCCTTAATGCATTTTCCGTACTGGTGGAAGCAGGGGGAAGCCAAGAAGGGAGTGGCCTGAATTAGTCTGTGTGTCATCCCAACTCCCACAATTCATCATAGTTTCAACTTTGAACTTTCAACTTCATTCATATATCAGAATTTTGTGATTTAACCAAACCCCCTCATCTAGTAGTTTTCTGGTATCTTCTCCCAAAGGACCTAATATAGCCTATCTTTCAGAAGAGGGCAATCAGTCTTCAAATAATTGAAAATGTATTGCGTACATTTTCATCTCACCGCATCTCCATTCATCTCATGTCTCCAATTTAGAAAGTGTGAGGTAGCAGGAAAAACACTGACTAAATATGGATTAGAAGATTTAGGCTCAATTCTGGGTTCTGCAGCTTAGTTAGTTTTGTTTTACGTGTGCGAGTGAGGACTCTCAATCAATTTCACATAGGCAGCTGGATCAGTTCTCCAAGAGCCAATTTGTTGAATTTACTCTTTCACTGATCTGCTGAAAAACTGTTCAACTACTTATAAATTACAGCAATTCATTTTAGATAGGGTAGAAATTTCTTTAGCTAGGATAACTTTTGAAGATGTCTGTGATGTTTTATTCATCCATGTACTAATTAAGTTTTAGTTTAGTTTTCAGCCATTTGGATGTAGCTGTTTTACCACTGCTGAATTGCAGTGCGCTTGGGGACTTTTCTTTGCTTGGCAATATGACTTTGTGGAATGAGAGTTTCTTATGTTTACTGACTCACAAATGTATAAATTTGGGATGCCCAGAGCATAGTTCTTTCAAATCATTTTCAATCTATTCCACTGTCTCTTGTACTTCTGTAAATGGAAGGATTTCCTAACCAGCTCAATTAGATTACTGTTTTTATGTGTTCTAATCATTTGAGAAGTGATTAGTGTCTAAATTATGAAACTGACATTCTACAAAGATGGACTGACAGAAACACAGCTGATGTATATTAAGACTAAATAAAACCTTAAAAATTTTCAAGGTGTTGAAACACAATTTTCTATATACTTTTATGTAGGTAATAATGATAAGATTTTAGGAAAGCAATCTGGTGACTATGAACCAGCAAACCTGCCTAAACTGGTGTAGATTAGTTCAGTGAAATCTGTCATTAAGTGCACTGGCTCTTTGGAGAACCGGACATTGAGTAAACAGGTACTTAGCAAACTTGTCTGCTTCTGCATGTGAACAAATCATTCCTCCTCCTAGTTTCTTACTCTGTAAAATAAGGAGGTTGGCATATTGAGATACCATTTCACACTCATCAGGATGGCTACTATCAGGCAAATGGAAAATAACAAGTGTTGGGCGAGTATAGGAATAAATTGGAATCCTTGTGCAATAGTGGTGGGAATGTAAAATGGTACAGCTACTATACTACAGAACAGTTTGGTGGTTCCTCCAAAAATTAAAAATATGTGATCTAGAATTCCCATTCCTTATTTTTTTTTTAAGATTTTATTTATTTATTTGCCAGAGAGAGAGAGAGAGAGCACACAAGCAGGGGAAGTGGTGGGCAGAGGGAGAAGCAGGCTCCCTGCTTGGCAAGGACTCTGATGCAGGACTCAATCCCAGGACCTTGGGATCATGACCTGAGCCGAAGGCAGACGATTAACCAGCTGAGCCACCCGGGCATCCTGGAATTCCCATTTCTGAGCATACACCCAAAAGAATTGGAAGCAGAGTTTTGAAGAGATACTTGGATACCCATGTTCACAGCAGCATTGTTTATAATAGTCAAAGGGTGGAAACAACTCAAGTATCTATCGATGGATGAATGGATAAACAAAACAAAAAATGGTATATGCATACAAAAGAATATTATTCATCCCTAAAATGGAAAGAAATTCTGATACATGCTACACATAAATAGGATATTATGCTAAGTGAAATAAGCCAGTCACATGAAGACAAGTACTGTATGATTCCATTTACATGAGGTACATATAGTAGTCACATTCACACAGACAGAAAGTAGAATGGGGTTTTAGAGTTGAGGGGAGGGGACAGGGAAGTTATTGTTCAGTGGGTACAGAAGTGCAGTTTTACCAGCTGAAAAGAGTTTTGGAGATGGATAGCATTGATGGTTGTACAATAATACAAATATACTTAATACCATTGAACTGTACTCTTAAAAATGGTTACCACGGTAAATTTTATGTTATGTGTATTTTGCAACAATTTTAAAAAAAAGGAAAGGAAATGAGGAGGTTGGACAAGAAGTTCTCTTAGATCCCTTTCAGGTATTAAAGTTTATGATTCTTTGAGGTCAACAAAGTATGAAATTACAAGTATTGAAAACAAACAAACAAAAAAAAGTGTCTTCCATAAATAGTATTACATTGGAAGTTGTAGGAATGGGAAGGGCTTAATGAAGTGCTATAAAAACCTCCATTTTGGACCACACAAAATGATGATGATGATGATTAGTGTTTGCTTTTGATGTAAAGTAATGAATTCAGATAACAATTTTGCTTAGAAGTCTTTAAGAAGATCTGATTCATAAACAGTTAAGAGCTGTTTGTAGGCAATTGATTATAAATATACAAAAAATAGCTTTTATATTATAAACAGGAAGTGATTAGAGAGAAATTACCTCATTCATCATAGCAACAAAAACTATAAATTATCTAGGAATACATTTTTTTTTTTTAAGATTTTATTTATTTGACACAGAGACAGAGATCACAAGTAGGCAGAGAGGCAGGCAGAAAGAGAGGAAGGGAAGCAGGCTCCCCGCTGAGCAGAGAGCCCAATGCGGGGCTTGATCCCAGGACCCTGAGATCATGACCTGAGCTGAAGGCAGAGGCTTAACCCACTGAGCCACCCAGGCACCCCGGAATACATTTTTTTAAAGATTTTATTTATTTATTTGACAGAGAGAGACTGGGAGAGAGGGAACACAAGCAGGGGGAGTGGGAGAAGGAAAAGCAGGCTTCCTGCAGAGCAGGGAGCTCAATGTGGGGCTCAATCCCAGGACCCTAATATCACGACCAGAGCTGAAGGCAGATGCTTAACGACTGAACCACCCAGGCGCCCCAGGAATACACTTTTGTAAGAAGTGTACAGGCCTTACAGGAACTAAAACTAAAATTCTACTAAAAGACATAAAAAAATCTGAATAAATCAGCCTGTAAGGGAAGTCTCATTATTATAAAGATATCAATTTTCGGGCACCTGGGTGGCTTAGTGGGTTAAAGCCTCTGCATTCAGCTCAGGTCATGATTCCAGGGTCCTGGGATCGAGCCCCACATCAGGCTCTCGGCTCAGCAGGCAGCCTGCTTCCCTTCCTCTCTCTCTGCCTGCCTCTCTGACTACTTGTGATCTCTGTCAAATAAATAAATAAAATCTTTAAAAAAAGATATCAATTTTCTCCAAATCAATCTATAAATTCAA